GAGAGAGAGAGAGAGAGAGAGAGAGAGAGAGAGAGAGAGGCCGACAAAGTGCTAGAGGGTGAGGACGTCTCATCCCTTAAGAGGAAGCCTTAATAGGATGCGCCGGCGGTTGCCCTATACGCGCGATATTCTCTTCCCGCTATCGGGAAGGTGTTAGCTTCCGGATCCGTGCATTCGCAATTTGCATTAGCCGGAGCGAATTACGCGAAATTTATGCGAGCCGGGGATACGACCGGGGCTGCCCTCGCTTAAGCGTATTCGGGGCCACTTAGGCGGTCGCTCTGGCGCTCGGAGTCGCTCTACTTATGGCTCCGTGGACAGCTAATGTCCGCAACTATTTCTCTCTCGCCCCTGTGCAACCCGTCCGCCGTCTTACGATATTATTCCACGAGTATTGTCTGAGCCCCCGCCGAGAGAGGAGGAGCAGGGGTTGGAGGTGAAGCCGCGCTTGCCAAACGGCCGCGTCGGGCCGCGATTAATCGCCGCGCACCCGTTGTCGTCGTCCTCGACGTCGTCGTTCTGCCGCCGCCGCTGCCACTGCCGCCGCCGCCGCCGCTGTGAGCGCGAAGTGTCCCACGGGAAAGGGCGGGAATCGATACGGGGAGCTCTCGGTTCGATGCAGCCCCGCGGGAGCTCGGCGGGAATTTTTCACGGCTGAAGATTCAATCAGTAGCGCGCGTAGTTTCGGAAGCCGCGTCGATATCTGGATTCGAGTTTCTGAACGCCGCGACGCGACGCGCCACGATTTACCGTCCGCAATCGTGATATCTGCGGGGATCTCGGAGAGATACGGGAGAGAGTATGAAGGATAATCTCCGCGTTGATATCAACAAGTTACGGCGCGGCACGTCCGGCGAGGATGTATCGCGCCCAAGCAAATGTGGAGATCGATTTCCGCGCGACGACGGACTCTTTCGCCTCCTCCGGGCCGTCGACGCCGAAGATGGCGTCGCGTTAATAACCGAGCCGAAACCGAGCGGCCATATCGTGTTATCGCGAAACGCGGCCGTCGGCCGAACGATACGTACGGATAGCGCGGCGCGAACGGTACGAAACAACGTTTGACGCTAGATTAATGAAGTTTCAAGCGCGGATAAAATTTCGCTGGCGGGATCGATGACAGGGCCGGCGTGTCCCGGATCGGGATGTGACTATAGGCCGCAGTTATCAATCGGTTTCATCAATCGACTCGCGGTATGCTCTTTCAATTATCTCGGGGACGGCGGCTTCGGTCGGACGTGAAAATTAATTGCTCGCGTGACGCACATTCGATCACGGCAATTTGTATCCTTTTTTCTGCCACCCTCTCCTCCTCTCTTCCCAACGTTTTTTTCTCCCAAAGCACTTCGTCTCTTGCGCGTCTCGTGCCAAGTGGCTCTTGCGCCTTTCGCGGCCGGGCTGACGGACGGTCGAGTAAGTGTCGGCGCTTACGTACGTACATAATCGAGGATCTTCGCCGAAAAAAAATCGCCCCTTCCGAGGTTCGCGTCGGAGCAAGCTGTAAAACGTTCGTGTAAACGACGAAGAAGACCCTCGAGGCAACGCGCCGGAACCCGTCGACGCCGCCGGTTGTTACACGGCCGGTACTTCGTTTGGGTAACTCCGATATCTTGTCTGATAATACCAAAATATCATGCAACGCTGTAGTTTCAGTCCCTGTGCCCGCCCCCTCCGCGCGAGCGCACTCTCTTGGGCCGTGCACGCCGCCTTATCAGGGATTACGCAGTAAACGCAAGCACTTCGCGAGAGACGCGTAATGAGTCCAAAATGAGTTTCAAACGCGTTTGCGCTTTGCATGTTCACTTTGGGGAGCAAAAAATTAGAAAAGATGCTCGCTGCTTTTCATTCACTCAAACAAATATGATCTTATATTTAACGGAGTTCTCTTATACGAATACGGCCTCAAGAAGGTTCTTCTAAAACTTGGGAACTAAGAGGAAAATATTCTAAGCACTATACAACTTCTTAAACTTGGAAGAATTTCGCTTTTTATTTATTAACTTTTATTTATTACTTATTAAATTTTGCACAGTTGTTTCTCATGCCAAAGTATAAGATGAAATCTGTTATTTTTAACTCAAATAGATTTTTTTATTCATTTCGAACATTTTTTTTTTAATTGTACGCAAATATACGACATTAGGCAATTTCATAAAAATATTCTTTAATTTTAATTTTGCAAAATGAATCTTTGACTCGTAATTAGTGACCCTAAAAACTTCGAGTTTCTCGAAGCAAATTAAACATTTCTTCAGTAATGACGTCGACCACGTTATATTTCGACATTTCGAATTTTGCGAAATGAATTTTCTTTTTCTTCAACTTTTCTTTACAGAATCACTTGTATGGAAATATGGAAAAATTCAAAGGGTAATTATTACCCTTAAAACTGCTTAATGCTCTATGAGTAGAAAATAAATAAATTATTATTTTTGTTTATTTTGTGTGTACCAAGTTTAAAAATAAATCGGGTAAATTTATTCATAAAAAATATTTGCTTTAAATATGTGTAAAGTTGTGTATTTGCGTATAATAAAATAAATTTCGAAATTTTGTATGATTAAAAATATTTCAAAATTTCGTACAATTGAAGATATTTCTAAATTTCGAAATTTTATACAATTAAAAAAATTTTTAAATAAATGAAAAAAAAACTAAACTTGAAATAAAAATGATAACAGATTTTTTAATACTTTGACATGAAAAACAATGTTACAAAATTTTAGAAAAATCGGCGCGTAACATTCCGCGAGGTTTACTTGTATAAGAATAAGATTATACTTTTTAAATGTGTGTGTGTGATGAAGTGAACCGAAATGATGACAAAACTCGGAAGATGATTAGATAGGAAACGCGGCTCCAATCCGAAAGCCAAAGCAAATATTATTACGCACCGTGGGAACCTCGAATATTAGAAGATACTTAAAGAAGTTTGTATATATATACATACATATATCGAATTTTTATGCAGAATGTATAAAACTATGAGTGGGCGAGCAAGAAGTTTGTAGCGCTTTAACAGAAAAGTCGAAAATCCCGACTTTTATCAGAGGCCGGGCTACGTTGTTTGAATTAATCCTGTAGAATGCGAGGGGATTACTCACTTTCTTGCCGTCCAGCTCGTGATTGCCCTGCGCCAACACTTTGTCGACGCTCGCCGGGTCTGCGAATGTGATGAATCCAAAGCCCCTGCAAACAAACGAAAGGAGAACGTTTAATACACGGCAGGCACACCCGTGTTACTCGCGAATATAAGGGACATTAATGAAGCAAGCAGCTCCTAACGGTAATGTTATTTTCATCGTGGACGTACGTGCAGCGGGAGCGTTGGTGCAGCTTGGGCACTCGCGCTCGCAATGCATACGTTGCGAGAGATGCATATCTCAATGTAGCGCGCATACATCAAAGCGCGCGATCGTAAAAAGAAAGCCGGCCTGGCGCGGCATAACATTTCCGTATTAATTCACTCCTGCAAATCGCGAGATATGGTGGCATTAATTTCCCGGATGGGTAATTTCCGGGCCCTTTTATTCCCGCGGCTAAAGGTAGTTGGCCATTAGCGCAACTGATTAGTACGCCGCTTCTTCGTTTCCGTGGATTGAGACGCCACGGGATCTACGCTGGAGCAATTATTTGAAGAAGAAAGTTTCAGAGGACTCGCGCGCGACGCGAGCTTACCGGCGTACTTGGACGTGTCTTAGCAGAAACGACGACGGTGGCGGCAGTGGCGGCGGCGAAACTCTCGGGGAAAAAATTACACTCGCGTTCCGCGCCGTTGCCATTTTTTACAATAGACTCCTCGCGCGCGAATGGAAAGGTTGAGAGCGCAGTTGGGAACGCTGATAACTTCTTTTTCCTTTCTTTTTTTCCGAAAACCCCACGTAAATTCGGAGGAGCCGCGACATCGGAGAAGCCGGAGGATTAAAGCGAATTGTATATGACGCGCGGCGCGGTGCGACGCGACGCGCGCGGGGCGTCATAAATTTCCACGGGCCGGGGTACGCCGTGTACACACGGATATATTAAAAGACAGTTCGATGCCGTGAGCTAAGGGGGTTGATGCGCCGCCGGCCGATCCGAAACGAACGAGGGGACGGGCGATACTGCGAGGCGAGGGCGGCGAGAGTGCAACGCGCCGAGGGCCGGACGCAAAGCGGTTTGCATTTTTCATGCCGGGGCCGCCCCGGCAGTTATTGAAAATATTTACATGTTATTTATGGGGCACACATGCTTCAAGAACCAAACGCGCCAACCCCGCCAAGCCCCTCGCCGACTCCTCTCCGTTCCCCTCCAGCCCTCTCCTCTTCTCCTCCTCCTTACGCGAGCGCGCAAACCCCTTTTCCGCCTCTTTTCCTCCGCCGCCTGCCTCCTTTTTCCGTCTCTCCGTTCCCTGCGGAACGGAGTATTCCGCCGCCGTCGCACCTCCTCCGTCCTTGCCGCCCTCGTCTCCTTCATCCGCTGCCGAAGCAACCCCCCCCCGAACCTGCCGGCAACGTCTCGAGCATTCTGCAAAACGTTTCACGCCTCTCTTGCTGCTTCCGCTTCCTTCCCACCGACGAAACAACGAATACTCGTATGGATTGAATTTTTGATGGAGCCGACCCCTCCGGGCCCTCGACTCTCATACCCTTCAACCGTACCTCGCTCTTCTCCTCCTCCTCCTCCTCTGCCTCCTGCACTTCGCCATAACCCCTTTTCTACGTCTGCCGATGGTTGTGCATCGAGCGCGAGCTGCGTGGCGGCATCGACTACCTTCCATATCGATTTCTTCGCGCACGCGATACCCCCCCGCGTTCGAACGAAATCGGCGACGCGAGGGCTCCGACGACGGCACGCAGCACGTAAAGGGAACGAAAACGACGTCGACGGCGACGCACGCATCGACATACGCGAAATCGGGAAGGTAAACCTCGGCGATTGTTATTCCACGTCAACGACGCTTCAGAAGCGCAACCCCGTGTGCTTCCGGAGCGACGTCGAGAGCAACCGGTCTCGCTTTCGTTTACGCAGCCAATTGCGACACCGCAGGCATCGCTACGTCGGAATATTTGCGCGCGATCACGCGTACACACACGGCGAATGTTTCGTCAGCCCCGTCATTTCCCTCTACGGCTCATTTAATGAGAAGGAAGAAAATATACAGTGACAATTTTGCAAATGCACGCTTTTTCATAAAATCCCTGAAAAATACATGTGCGCGAATACTAATCCGTTGAAAGCGTTACATTCGTCGCCGCGAGCGCTTTGAAATTCAGAATTCTAGTTACTTCGATATTTCTGATCAAGAAAAATCGATTTTCGATAGAACGCGCGACGGAGGGAGGGAGAGGGATGAACGACAGAGGTATACGTGTAGGGGAAACCGGGGCTATATGGCTCCAAAAGTATGTTGTTCATGTGCTCTTTTTTAGTATTTATCTTGAAAGGAATACACAAAATCGCGAAATAGTCGTATCCTTTTAGAATATGAATACTTTTCTCTGAGTTTCACAAAAATTGGAATAATATTACAGTTGAAAAATAGAAAAAAACTGATTTGGTAATTGCTTTTTGAGCCTTTCGAAATTTCTTTTCTATCAATATTCTAATCGTGACTGAATAAAATTAAGCGACTAGCTAGAATAAAATTTCTTGCAAGTGTGTATGATATACTGTTTCTGTAATAAACTGTTTCGGTAATAAATGCAATTTTTATTCGTAAAATGATTGAAATAAAGCATATGGGTGGACGAGATAAAATCGGTCTATAAGGGCCGACAGGAGGGTTGTGGAGACCTTTAGCTGTGAGACCTCTCTCTGAAACTACTAATCAGGATACATATTTTATACGTAGCCTTCTTATCCTGCGCTACTGGGCAATTGAACTCGATATCAGGGCAAGATGGCTCTGTTGCTGCATGTTCATATTTTGGTTATTACGAGACAAAATGTACGGTTAACGGTCACTATCATGTTTATACAGTCAGTCATAACAATTAGTTGCCTAAGAAGTTGTAACTTCGGAATTATAAAATATAGGGGATCCAGCCCCGGTCTACCCTGTCTGGGTTTACAGGGCTCACACGACGGGAGGCTATCCCGGCATTAGCGAGCTCACGATTTGCACGCGACCGAACGGTTACGACGATATACGCGGCGAATTTTGGGAGATTTTCGCGGGACGACCGGCCGGAGTGACAATCGCGGCAAACGAACAGCCGCTGAATCGGCAGTTGTCCAATCAGCATTAAAACGCCAAACAACACGAGCGAGAACATAGCGGGAGCGGCTCGCATTTGCATACAACGAAACGGCGAGAGACTGCCCGGGCGGCTCGCTCTCGTTCCCTCTTCCTCTCTCGCGCTCCCTCTTTCTCCCTATTTTACTCCTCTCTTTTACGACACCGCATTTATGACGTTGTACGCGCAATGTACACCGAAATCATGGACACCGGCCTCGGAAAACCGCGCGAATAATTCATCCTTTTTCCACCGAGCATCGCGTCGGAATTTAATTAGAACTCGCTGGTCGCGTCAGCCCGCGTCGCGCTACGCTCACTGGCGTAGTGTATATCGATCAATCGCGCGATAATACGCGTATAATCGGCCGCACGGCGATATTAAGATCTCCTCCGTGGCGCTCGATCGTTCAATAATGTCCGCCCTATCCGCCATCATTGGCGGCACTTTGACTCTTTCGAAATTAAATTAGGAACAAAAAAATGCACGGCACAAAAGGGACCACGGCACAAATTTTCACGGGGGAGAGACTGTTCATCGCGAAAAAAATATTTATCGAATGCGACGTCTCGCGCGCGATAATTGAAAGAGAGGAATTAAGGGTATCGCCGCTAATAAGCCGCGATACAATCGTCGTCTCACATTCTTGACCGATTACCCGGAACCGTGCGAGATCCAATCTTGACCCACGGCAATTATCCGCACGAAGAACGAAGAACGAAAAGAAAGAAATCGTATCACGGGGTCCAGTCTTATGACGGTATATCAGAGAAGTCGAGGGCCGCTGGAGAGTTATTCCCAGGATAAAGGAGGGATCCATCGCGGACCCATCGCTCCATCGAGGCCCCGGCACCGCGCCACTTGTCACCCCGGCCATTGTACGTGAATAATCTATAAAAGGCTGAGTAGAAGGATGGCGGCTGACGTGTCCCTTGTCTACTTGAGCACGGCTTCCACGATCCTCTACTTTTCATCCTGCTCCTCATCCTCCTACTTGTTCTCTGCCGCTCGACCGTCCCTCTCTCGCTTGTTCTCTCTTTCTCTCTCTCTCTTTCTCTTCTTCATCTCCTCTACTCTTCCCATGCCCGAGACTTAACCGCCCTCCGCCGGTCTCGTCGCCCTTTTCGCATGCCTCCCCATGCCGCCGTCCCGACTACGGAAGGGTGTCACGCCGGGCTGACGCGGTGCATTTGTTTGTCACGGCCTCTCTTGCTCCAGCGCGACGGAGGCGGCAGGCCTCTTCGGCATACGCGAGAGCATCCCAGACACGTGCCATGGCAGAAAATCCCGGCCGAAATCAGTTCAAGATAATGCAGCGCGTCGTCGTGGCAGAGTCTCGCTTGTAACTCGCAAGAACTCGACAAGGCAAAAGTCTCCAGCAAGAGGTAGAGGTCGAGATATAGATAGACCTGCGAATTTCCGGATTCCTCGATTATTGCGGAACGAGGAGGAACAGTTCCTCCCCTCCCGCGAGGTCAGAGATAACCTTTCTGCGCAACAACACGGAAGCTGAGCTTCGCGTACAATTACAGATCTACAATTTACAGTCGTTTTTCGCGAATCTGTTTAGAATTAATAATTATTGATAGCCGATCTGTTGCAAATTAAATGTCCTAGACATTACAATGCTAATTGCGCGACAATATCATTGTGAGACAGGGGGTAGGGGGCAAGGAGAAAATTTTATCGCGCGTAACATGTTGAGTACGTGAAAAGAAAATAGCAGAAGGCCAGGTAAATCAGCTCGGCACAGTTCGCGCGCGCACGTAACCCTCGTATCGCGTCGAAAGGCTGCACTTCCGCCCCGGGAATTTACCGCGAGACAGGATAAGGGTGCGACCCGGGCGAGAGAGGACGCCAGTGTATTAGGTGTATTTATGTAGGCGGTCTCATTGCGCGCGAACTTACTGTAAGTACCGGCAGTTACTTAGCCCGACAGTTTCTGCTATTGCAGCTCCGGCTGCGATATAC